CCCCCCCCCCTCCTTTGAACTGTCATCCTCCCTGCAGAAATCGGGAGTGGTTTATACCTTGTCTCATTTTAACTCATTCACCCCCTGAAATTTCATTTTAACTCATTCACCCCCTGAAATTTCATAATGAACTATTTCAACCTTTGAATTGGAAGAATTCAAATGCATCTTCAGGGGTGAATGAGTTCAGGAAACATTGAAGAAATCAAGAATAGACCTGCTGTCTAGTTAAATGCAACTAATGTAGGGCTCTGCAGAATCAGGTTTTTTTCTGTGTTCTTACGTTTCCTAAAAAAATTTGTCTTCTTTCTTTCCTTTCTACTTTCTGTTTCAGTTGGTGTCTCCCCAGACACCCGTCCTCATATTACCCAGCTGTTGTGAGGACAATAAACCCCAAAACAAACAAACAAAACAAATTGAAATATATCGTAGTTTAGAGATGAAATGAATCCTAATTTGATACCCAGAGGATGACAGCAATTACGAAGTAAAACAGTGATTGATGTAGGCTATCAGAAGTGAGGACCAGGAGTTGGTGGTATTGGTACTTTTGGAAATAGTGGATTATAGATGGCGCTGTATTGTAAGCTTTCAATCGGGTGTCATGTGATCACACTTAACTGATGGCATTAAAAAACGCACAACCTTCCGGTGATTATAAAAAATGGTTTTGTCAGGAGCTGTAACGTGAGATTGAAAATCAATCAATACCCATGTCACAGCAGTACAGGAAACCAGCATGGTTACTGAATATTGTAAAATTGATGGAAATCTGAAATATTGTTTGGTAACATAATTGGCGCGATTATGAAGAATAGATGAATGGCATTGTGCTGATGATCAAAAATGATCATTGATAATTAAAGCAGTATAATTAGGTTACCTTGACTAACAGCAGGCTGATGATGCATTGACTTGTAACACTGCTATCTGATATAACAGGGAGGTATACACAGGGGAGGTGACTACTCACTTTGGAAGGTAACAAACAGGGGAGGTTAATCACCTAGAGAGTTGACAAGCAGTGGAGGAAACTCACTTTGGGAGGTAACAAGAAGGGGAGGTAGCTACTTTGGGAGGTGCCAAGCAGGGGAGATAACTTACTTTGGGAGGTGACAAGCAGGGAAGATAACTTACTTTGGGAGGTGACAAGCAGGGGAGATAATTCACTTTGGGAGGTAACAAACAGGGGAGGTAACTCACTTTGGGAGGTGACAAGCTGTGGAGATAACTCACTTCTGGAATTGATAAGCAGGGGAAATACCTCACTTTGGGAGGTGACAAGCAGGGGAGCTAACTCACTTTTGGAGGTAACAAGTAGGGGAGGTAACTCACTTTGGAAGGTGACAAGCAGTGGAAGTAACTCACTTTGGGAGGTAACAAGCATGGGAGATAACAAACAGGGGAGGTTACTCACTTTTGGAGGTAACATGCAGTGGAAGTAACTCACTTTGGGAGGTAAGAGGAAAAGGAAGGAAAGGCAAGGGGAGGTAATTTACAATTGAAACGGTGTTGTTACATCACCAGACTGATGTTGTAAAGTCAGCTTAGTCTACTTATCTGTCACAAATCATGATTTTAACAAGGGCAGTTACAGTCATGCAGAACAGTGAAAAACGTTATTTGGCAATAACAACCACGGACAGGGTGGTGATTTCCCTATGTTCTTGTACAGTTGCCTTGTCTTTTTAACCTGAAGTAGTGCTTTATAGTGGATATCCTCCAGTATAACTTTGGACTGTAAAGTTAAGTACCTCAATATCAATATGAATAAAACATGGTTGATACAGAAATGAATGAGTACAATGTGGTTGTAATGACAAAATAAAATATTTCCTGTGTTGAAATGGTTAGCGCCCTTGGTGTTTGTATGTTTCTGACAGATTCAACGTTCTGAAAGAATCAGTAACACATCTGTCCTGAAGACACTGTTGTCATGACAATGGGATATCATTGTCCTCACCATATCCCTGATAATCTGAATAGATTATTCTGTCTTCTGATCTGGGTCATTCCATTGTGTTCAATAGGTGCGACAAGTATAATTTGACCGTTTTACCCTGCAGGACATCAGGCCTTTGTTAACTGAATAAATAAAAATGCAATAATAATTTAACTTTGTCTCCATATGCTTTGTTTACAAAACAAAAGATTGACTTCAAAGAGGTGATGAGGGGTCTGGTTTTAAGCGCGTACAACGTTCAATGGCCACTCAGCCGTAAAAACAATCAATGGAGGTATTAAAAAACACTCAACAATTTGCATAATTACACACAATTTGAAAAAAGAGCTTTATCTGACCAGCCGATTGAATTGATTATTGAAATGGTTGTGACTAACCACAGCATGAAGATGGAGACTACAAAAGCCGTAAAATACTGGCGAGACTACAATGCTTATTTCAGCAGGCTGGCTGGATGGTTCAAAATAGCTTTGGCAGTCTGTGCAGTTAATTTTTGAGAGAGAAAAAATTGTAACAGAGTGACCAGACCCTTCAAATGAATACATACAAAAAGTTAACTTAAACAAAAATTGTATTTGGTATCAGAACACAATGCATGCAGTGGTAAACGTTTGGAAGTAACCATGGTTATCTCTCAAGAAATTTGTTCTCCCAATATTTCAGGCTAAAAACATCATTGAAAAAAATTGACAACTATTTAAAATACAGAGAAAGACGAAACATTAAAACGGAACATATATATTTGTTTGCCTTAATATCTGCAATATATCCTGCATAGTGGAACTTTATTAAATTTGGCACGTTGATCCATTTAATGATAGGTTTTGGATTGTACTAAGTTGGATTTCCTTTTCACTTAAATCGTCATTCTTAAAAAACTGGATTTTTCATTGTCATATGTCTCTAATTGTAATCCTTAAAACATGGGAGTTTTCATTGTAAACATAAAAAAGCACTCCGTTTCTGCGAGGGGTACAAGGGTTACGCTAAGTCGAAGCTGTACAGCTGTTCCATTGAGCAGGGTTAATTAATAGGTAGAAGTAGCCAGGGGAAGTTCTAGTGATGTAAAGAAAGCAACAGGCCATCCTATGCAGACAATATGGAGCCGGGGCAAGATATTGTTGAAAATGCAAGTGAAAACACATTCAATGTTCCATGTGATATTTTAAAATCTAACAACATGATTTAAATAATTCAAAGTCATCGATAAGGAATCTTAACCCTTTCACCCCTATGTAACTTAAGTAAACTTTTACTATGCATTGACTTGGATGAGTCCATTATGATCTTCAGTAGTGAAAGGGTCAAAAACTGTAGTGATGGAAAATAAATTAACTGCATGGCAATAGTTTTGATTGATCATTTCTGAAAATGAATTGGAAACTTTTTAAACAACATGACAAAAACTTTAATGAATCATGTTTGTAAAGAAATTAATACTTTGCAGAACTTTCTTGTATATAAAATGTCAACAACAGTGTTCTGAGATTTAAAAATGTCATAAAGTCCGACCAGAATTTGAACCCCAGACCTTGGATCACATCACCGTGGCTCCAACCTTTGATGGCCGAGTTCCACTTACAGATCTATCTAAAATGCAATCAAGGGGAGGTTACTCTATGTAAGAAAGATTTAAGTGGAATTCTCTAATGTTTTGCCAGCAATGGGACATGGCTCCTTAAATGAGTTTCCTTTCCTTGTGTGTTTTATGAATCAAGATTTTAAGCTTTCAATTTGCATTAATTAAATCTATTTTCAAGAAAAATTGAAAATTAAACAAAAAACATGTTTTGAATACTGTATACTTTTGGCCTATTTGCAGGTGACACGTCAGTATTCAGCGATGTCCGTTTCACGACAGAGCCGAGCAACGTCATCGTCAACCGGGGTGAGGCGGCCATATTTAACTGTGGTGTCCAATGCAGTACGACGACGCCGGCCGTCACATGGCTGAAGGACGGGAAACCTATCAACGTGGACATTGGGAGGTTAGTTCTGATGATACGGCAGTTACTGTGTCAGTTCAACTCATTCACCCCTGAACTTTCATAATGAACTATTCCAACCTTTGAATTGGAAGAGTTCAAATGTGTCTTCAGGGGTGAATGAGTTAATTTGGTTTATTTTTGTTTGACATCCTATGGACAACTAGAGTTATTTAAGGACATGCCAGGTTTTGCTGGTGGAGAAAAGCTGGAGTGCCCAGAAAGACACCACCAACCAGCAAGGACTATTGAATCACCTAACCTAACTGGTCCTTTCGGCTTGTAAAAAATAAAAATTCACCATATTTTTATGGCATTAGTTATTTTAGTCCTCTACAATCGATTACTTTTGATGTTTCGAGCTGTAGATCGCGATGTTTCCTTATCAGGAAATCTTGGACTTAGTTACATCGATGAAGGACTTGTAAATAATCTATTCAACTAGTCCTGTGGACTACCAAGCAAAAAAAGTTTGTGTCTAACCCTGCTAACCTGTAGCCAGTACATGGTGACTGCCCCACATAGGCCTCGGACCTGTGACCCAGTGGAGGTGGGCTAGTCATCTTATACTGTGTCAGGTCTCTGTACAGACCTACAAAGATCTCCAGACTTATGTTCCAAGACAAGTGTCTCCTCTTAACTCATTCACCCCTGAACTTTCATAATGAACTATTCCAACCTTTGAATTGGAAGAGTTCAAATGTGTCTTCAGGAGTGAATGAGTTAACTAACATTTATATATCCTAGCAATGTTTGATTTAGACAAAGTACTCGGCAAATTTGAAAATCTGGGAACAGTTTAGGATAGCATTGGTTAGAAGCGCAGTGAAGGGAAATATCAAATGAAATTGTGAGGCCCTGTCATATTTTAGTGTTGGAAAATTCACCCCGAAATGTGCTTACTGTAGTATTTATGTCCAGTATGTGTACTGAACCTGCCATGTACAAAGAATCTAGGTCAGCCTTCAAGTATATATTTATTCTCGAACTCGTCTTCACAGTATTCCAATAACACTTTTCGTATAGAAATATTTCTTGCCTCGCCTCGCCTTGCCTCGCCCCGGATCCTGCCGGACAGTGAACATGTGTGCTTTTGTTTATCAGTTGTTTACTGCCAGATTTCGTATTTTGTTTAATTTAATCTTCGCTGTTTTATTGATTTGTTACGCCAATAAATAAAATAATGTCGTCTAAAGAGGATATAGATTTGACTCCGGGGAACTGGGCCAATCTTCCTACAATGAGACCATGTGGTGCCGAGTTAATAATAGTCATCCCGATCGTATAAAACTTAATTATTTGTTTTTGAAAGTCGGTTTGATTAGGTCCCGGGGCTATGTAGTGACGAGATACAAATGTGCAAATTAAGTTAGGCTCCAATCAAAATAAATCGTGGAAAAGATATTGTGAACGTTTTATCGTAAATTAGAGATTTTTTAAAGATTTTTATTTGCCTGAGATATATTGTAGTAAAGATATTTATGTTGTTCTAACTAGAATTGTGTCCAGTTGTGTAAATTCTGTGACAAAATGATAACTGTGCTTGCAAGACAATCAGGATTCAGAGAGACGTAACGTTGCAATAGAAATCAAATATTCTCTAAAAGATTACAATTATATTGCAACATGGTCAGTTAGGATTGGGAATGCTCTTAAATGAAACTTGCAAGAATGTTAATGGTAATACATTATGACTGTTTTGTACTGAATATCTACCCTATATCAAAAGATGTTTTATTTCTACATTTCCTACTTGCTTTTTGAATTATAATTGGCAACTTATTATACATTATGTACATATCATCATACATTTACCCTTAAGACAGGTTCAGACTTTTTTTCAGTTCTTGAAATTCTCCTATCAGGCCCTGGTTATTTAATTACACTCCTCAATCAGGCCCCAAATATGAATATAGTGTTTGTCACTCTCCAGTCTGTCTTTAATTATGGATGAAATATCAATTTCCTTTCATGCCCCTACTACATCCATGTAGTATATACATCATCTGGCCCCAACTATGTATTTGTTGTCTAACCCAGACTAAGTATCTTTTGTCTGGCCCCAAACATGTTTATATTGCTGGCCCCATCTATGTATATTTAGTCTCTATTCCCTTCTATCATTTTTATTTTTAAATTATAATCCCTGTCGATTCGATTGCGTACTGATTATTTTGTTTATAACGGAACATAAAACAGTCAAAACCATATCGTTATTACAATATCCTTATATACAAATCAAAATGGCACTCTTATACTTAATCTACAGTCTATGAAGACCACTAATAAGAGAAATATTTTTAATACAATGAATTGCAGAAGTATTAGTTATACAGGAACTCACATTAAATGGTGCAGTCTCGGACCCCAAATATGGACATGGAACGGAACGTAAACAGTCGTTAGAATCGTCTATATCGGGTTATGATGCAATCAGGATAAATTTCGGAGAAGATGATTGGACAAATGACTAGAGATACTTAACTAACCTGGTAAACTGTAGGAGAAACGCTCGGCCAACGGCTTTCTTTGTAGGCTCGGAAAAATACCGTCGCAATGAATCATGTATATAACTCAATGCAACGAGACAAATTAAGTTGGGATGCAATTGAGAGAAATTATGAAAAACAGTTTTTGTGTCAAGTAGGCGAAGTGGGTGTGTAACCAGCTACAGACAGCATACAACATGTACAACAATCACCGTAGCAGTAATGGTTGGCGCACAGGGAAAAACAAAAAGAGAAAAAATTCATAAAAACGGTCCGACAGATGTACAGGTTAGGGCCTCTAGCGATGAATTCTGTCCGTGTAATAAAGTTTTATGCCGTTTGATTAGATGATTTGTCGAGGGGATCTCTTTGTACTATTGTGTCCCCAAGGGTAGCAGCTATCTCTTGCCCAAGTTTATGGCATGGAGGGTTAGCTAGAAGAGTTTGGGATAGCTGGGAATGAGTGGAGAGGTTTAAGAAATGGAAGAGTAACAAATTAAGATAAGGGCGGAGAAATACAGATATTTCAAGATATTTTGCAATATAAGAAAGAAATAGGAAATAAAAGGTCCAATAGAGTAATACTCAAACTCAACTCATTCACCCCCCTACGTATTTAAACTGGACTTGCCCAGACTTTGATTTGGTAAGGTTCAAATGTGACTTTAGGGGTGAACGGGCTAAGATTTCATTAGATATAAAGGGTTGGTCATTTTTACAAAATGTTCATGTTTGAAAATTCCCCTCTCACTGAGTATACTGAGAAATATTCTCCATAATGTAGTCGGAAGGCCTAAGCTGGAGAGTCAAAATTGCACTCTGTCAACCAATAGGTGCATGACATTGACCTTCAAAGACTAAAACGTCTCCAACCAATCTGGCAGGCTGACCCCTGGCATGGGGTTGACCCTGGTTATATATAAAACTGACCAGCTCATCCCACATGCTTTTTGGGGGAATAAAGGAGAATTTGATATAGCGTTGCTTGAACATTTTAGTTAACTGTTCAAAATGGTGTAAAATTTCAGGAAGCATTGCTAACATATGATATATTCAGTGATTTCTTTTGCCTAGTTTTACAGCTCAAATACAGGCTGCTTTTCTTGGCTTTAAAGTGCTTTATTTTACCAAAATGAGGGAAACATCAGGAATATCTTCCCAATTTCAATGAAAATCATGCTTTATTTTCCCATTTCATGTAGGAACAGGCTATTTTAAAATCTAGGCAGGAAAAACCCTGATATTGTATTTGTTGTCAAAATAAATACTTGTTGGCAATGGCTTTTGGCTTTTCTAGAGTACCAGTTACGAGTTGAGTAATATCTGCAATTTGCAATTAACGTCAACTGTGTAAATTTACTTAGATGTTAAAAAAATCTTCATTAATTTTAATTTGAGAAATGGGATCTATATCGCTGAAGAGTTCGGTAAAAATGTTAAAATGTTGAAGAGTATGCCCTGACATCCTTCATTGTATTTAAAAACATTCGGGAAGTGATCAGTTTGAAAGTTTTTAAAAATTTTGACAGGAAAACAAAACTTTTAGTGACAGCTAGGCTTAACAAATACATGAATGACTATTTTTGATCAGAAAAAAAATGATGTTTAATTTCTTTGTTCAGAAATTGATGACAGGAAGTTGATCATAATCATCCCAACACTCGTGAGACTTCGCATTTGAGTTTTTAAAATACCAGATAGAACATAGGAATCGTCGGTGCAAATTTGCTAATGCACACAAAAAAGTAATGGTTTCAGGAACGTTTGACAGATTCCCATTTCACATGCAGCAACCAAGGAAAGAGAAAATGATCCGAGTCATACTGATGTTTGACAGCTCACCGATACAGTTACAAAACAGGGCAATGAAAATATGGAAGATCAATTTCCTTGAAAATGTATTGATGACTTGAGAGTGATTTGTGAGGAAGAAGACGTTCTCAGGGTCAGATAACAGAAGTGAAATTCAATAGGACTTGCATGTGTTTAACACAAAGTGGCAACACAGAATTCCAAGATGGTGGATAGAGCTATAAGTATTGTTAGCTTCATATGCAAAAATTACCAAAAGAAATGAATCTGTATTTTATTGCAGAATCTAATGTATAACCTGAGGAGGCTTAATTCTCGTAGTACAAAAAAGTGCAAGGGTTTCACACAGTTAACTGTTATAGTACAAAGAGTGTAGTTAAATTTGACACAGATAATAAATGAGGAAAAGTTATTGAATAAAAAATGCATTTTTTCGGAGTGTTAAGCTGATATGTCAGTTGGACAGGACCAGTGTATATAATTACATAGTAGGGGTTCATGTGAAGCTGCCATTGTGGTATTTGTTTACAAGTTCAAATTAATACTGGGACCCTGGGAACTTGACATTTTAATTAACAGCCCTGTAATTAATGCCAGGGACACTGAACAGAGATAATGACCTAGGTCTATGGTGTTTACCACACAAACCAGGCTCTTTCAGATATTTGTTTACCAGTTAACATTAATCAGAAATTCCAACTT